GCGTGGGTGTTTGTGACCTACCGTGTAACCCCCTTACAACTCGAAGTCCAGCAGTCAACAGTCGGCAATGACTCACAAGGCTCAAGGGAAGTCCCCTGCATCTAGTTAACATATTAGTGTGCGCACGTGCACACGCACATACACACACTAAATCTAACCCCAGCTTTCATAGCTTGAATATTTCCAGTAATCAGGCGTGAGGGGGATTTGTGCAGTGAGGGTAGGTAGGGAGAAAGAACAGGACAAAGTTTGAGTCTGTTCGTTTGAGGAATGTTAAAGTTAAACATTAGAACACAACGTTGGCTGGGGAACAGAGAATATGGAGGAGCCAGTCAGGGGAAAAACAGGAGAGACCTCAGAGAGACCTTGCCACCACCTTTTCACTCGTATGAACACAAACTCCCCTCGACTTGACTTGGCCTCAGTGTGTGGAGTCATTTGATCTGAATTATTTAAGAGTTGTGGTAACGTCAGTGGGAACCTTTCACTAACCCCAAACTCTAATTCCCATGGAAACCACAGGGAGAAAAAAAGACAATGAAAATGATAATATGAAGAACCTAATGTAATGGTAAATATAATGATAATAATATAATTTATTTAATACATTCAGTGGCTCATCACCACAAACCCCAAAACTATCCAAAAAACTTATTCAACTTATTAGTATTATCCATGTTTATTTATAAAAGGTCTGTAGTAGAAAAAGCTGAAAGAAAAGTATAATAGACCAATATGTTTCAGTGGGTGGGTTATGCCCCTTACAACATTCCTGTGTGTATATACAAATTATACGCAACCCCACACACACTTACACACACGTGTGCCAGCGCGCGTGCGTATTTCCGAGCAGTCCACTTCTTCTTCTAATGTAACCAAGCTGCAATGGCTGGGAGCTTGTACAGTGACATCAGCGGCTACGCATGATTCGGATTATGAATATAAAATCAGAGAAATTCAGTGGAGAAAACAAACAAACAAACCGACCACATTGGTGATCGCGAGTAGTATAGACTGAGTTTTTCTTCTCCCCAAAAACACAGATAATTAATATAAATAAAGTGGATGGACTGCTTACCTCAAATTATCTTAAAAACAACCCTCCAAGTTCAGGATTTGGCGTCGTACTTTAAGAGCTCCGGTCCGTTCAGTTGTCACTCCAGGAATGTCACCGATGTTGCCATGCGTAAAAGTAGACCAAAGGTGTCCAAACGGACAGAAATAGTCCTGTCTCTGTAAGCAGCAGTGAAAACCTCCCTCGCAGTGTTAATACAAAACTAATACAGGCAGAAAGTAAAGCGACGGGAACTGTAGAAGAAATCACTGATGGCAGCAAGGTCAGAGCTCTGGCTCAATGGGAGGAGGAGGCTCGACTGTACAGTTATCTGCTTCAGAGCGCAGGATAGAGCCAGCTTCCTCCTCCCACTTCAGAGTTAATTATGATCATATGAACTCTGGTATTTGTGTGTGTGTGTGTGTTTCGGGATATGAGTAGACTTGCCTCTTTCTTTTTTCCCCAGTACATTAAGAGTTTTCAAACCGTGCCTGATTGATTAATTTATAGAATTTCGCTGCACACAATGTGGTTTGTAAGTAGGCTAGTGAAAGTGGTTTGTGAGACAGTTACCTCCAGCTACACCACATTCATCTTAGGAACAACACCTGTGCGTCTTATTAAACGATTTTAAACTTTCTTCTCTAAAAAAAATTACAAAGAAAACTCCACTTTGCCACAGGGATGAAAGATTATTTAACTTCACATCAAACAAATAGCCTTACAAACCAGCAAAATCACTATTTCCATTCATTCATCAATCATGCTTATAATGCATCTGAGTCTATCTGAGTTCAAATGGGTGGCAATCCCCTTTATGACAAAGCCAGAAACCACATTCTGTGCCAGTCTGTGTTGTTGGTGCCATGTATGTACATGTGTGGGTGTTTAGATTTAAAGTGAAATGATATAAGGACTGAGGTTACGAATGTGTGTATGTGTGAATGGGTGGGTGTGCTGTGGTTTGGGACATGCTTGCCAGTGGTGATAAGTAGTAACTCTGTAAAGGCTGACAGGGAGTTGCCACAGATGTAGAGATAGGTGTCCTCTGTAAATTTCTTGATCTCCAACTTTACAAGGAATTCAATTGTAAGCACGTTTTTACCTAATGGGGAATCAGTATTGATTCAGTGTCAGTCATGATTGAAAATTTGATGTTTATTTAACATAAAACATATTGGAGCGCATTTGATTTCAATGTCAGCCATCAAGTAGATTCAGTATTACTGCCTGATGAGTTTTATTTTGTTTCTTTCCCATTGTTTTGGTCTGAGATGCTGTTTATCTAGTGCAACATCCTGTGGCAGGTGGATTTGGTATATATATAACCTTTAAATGCAGTTTAATTGAAATTCCACCAATCTTTGCCTACAGTTGTCTCCTACGCTGGGCAACCAATCAATAGGACAAATGACAACCAGTGATTGTGACAGCTCTAGTACCAATAAACAACTAAACTAAACTTCTACAAGATACAACAGTTGAGGCAGAAATTCTATTATTTAGTTTTTAATTTTTAATTTGAAAATTTTCTGTGTTCAATTGACCTAAGCTTCATGTCTTTGGAGTGTGGGAGGAAACCCATTCAAACACGGGGAGGAACATGCTGACTCCACACAGACAGAACACAGTATGTCTCAAGCTGCGTTGGGCTCAGACTGAAAAATGGCAGACTATGTTGGGCTGGGGCTGGGAGCAATTTGGGATTCAGCACCTTGCCCCCCTTGGACACATGGATAGGAGGAGGTAGGGGTTAAACTCAACTCAACTAACCATGTGTCCCCCTGAAGTCCATTCAGGGGCCACTGTTGGATGTGGACTCCAGTTGCTTGTCCTTCTTTTTCTTTCTTAAACCAAGGAAGTGGCCAAATCTTTTCCAGAAAGAAGGAGTCTTACCTTTCTCTGCAGCCTTCTCCTCACAGACTGCAGCCTCTTCTACAAGTGCCGGGCCCTGAGAAATGGCAGGGGATTCCTCTTCCACAAGGGCCAGGTCCTGAGAAACAGCAGGCGTCTCCTCTTTCTGCTGGCAGACCTGGTCCATCGGCTCTTCCATGAGTTGGACGGTTTCTGTGCGTAGGATCGGACTGGCTTTTTCCTCTTCCTTGAGCTCAGCAACAAGCTCAACATTTTTTGAGATCTGTTCATTGAGCTTGATTTTCAGATCTTCCAGCTCCATGTGCAGAGACTTCTCCCTCTCAGAGGCTTCTTGCAGGAGTTTGGTCTCCTGCTCCATATTCTGATGAAAGGCGTTCAGTTCTTGCTTCATACCCCGAACCAGCTCCACTTGTGAGGACCCTCGGGTGACATAAGACTTTACTGTCTTAATTTTCTGCTGAAGGGTGACATTCTCCAGTTGTTGTGCTTTCATGTCTCTGTTATACCTTTGCTGGATTTCATTGTGTACATGAGAGATATCACAATATGCCTGGTGGAGTTCACTGTATGAAACAGTGAGCTTCTCGAGCTCTCTCTGAGTTTCCTTCTCCTTATCCACCAACGACTCTTCGTGCATCTTTTGTTGAGCCAACTGTCCTTGCATTTCCTCCAGTTGTTGGCTAAGCTTGGTCCTTAGAGTGCACTGCTCATAACCCTTGGCTCTTTCTTTCTGGGATAGATCTTTTAGCTGCTTTATCAATTCCTTCTCTTCATGGAGCTCATTGGTCAAAAGCTCAACCTGGTCCCAGAGAGATTGGTTGTCTTTAGTCTCTGATTTCAGGCTGGTGGAGAGCTCATCAACCCTCTGGTCCTGACAGGCACTGTGTTCCCTTTCTCTTTGGAGCTGAGTTTTCAGCTCCTCTATCTGTTTGATAAAGACATCCTTTTCTACTGTGTTGAAATAGCTGGAAATCAGACCCCTGGTCCAGGTGTACGGGCCCAGAACTGCATGAGTCAGTCTGAAAGCCATAGTGTATCAATGTCTGAAGTTGTAGTCTCCTAACTATGTTTCAACCTGTTGAAACGCCTTGAATTGATTTCCTTTGTCTACACACGCTGATGACATCACAAATGGAATCAAAGGACATGTTGCCCCGCCCCCCTCTCCCCCTTAGTTACTGTTGCTATGTGTTCCATTCTAATGCTTATGTCCTTAAACATTTAGATTTATTTAAAAAATAACATGTTAAAAAAAAAAACCTGGAAATCAATTTGATATTATGGCCACATTTTAGACTAAGGGATTAAGTAATTGTAATTAAACAAGTAATTGAAAATATGTCTTGGAAATAAAACAATTAGAAGTATATATATTTTATTCAGTGCTTTTCTAATGTGCCACAATAATGTAATGTTTTTTAGTTAAAATGTTGTAATTTGGGGGCATTTCCAAGCAAATATTAATATATGTGCTTGTGATAAATTCAATCCAATTCAATTCAATTCAATTTTATTTGTATAGCGCCAATTCATAACAGAAGTTATTTCAGCACACTTTTCAAATAGAGCAGGTCTAGACCGAACTCCTTATAACATTATTTACAGAGACCCAACAGTACCACCATGAGCAAGACCTTGAGCATTATTGTTACAGCACATTATACAGAGTCTCCTCATTAAAATATCTATAAAATAAAATAACAAAGACCTTAACGCTCGACTCTCCTGGTACAGGAGGGGCCTGAAGATCAGGCGGCCATTTCACTTTTAATGTGCTTTTATTGTGAAAAACCATCAGGAAGTGTTGTTGGTACCTTGGCCTTCTCCTCAGACATCATGTACAGCTCCTGCTCACTCATCCAGGCTTCGGCCTCTGCAGCATCAAAGTAATACTGCTGTGCTTTGTGCGCCTCCTCCAGCCGACCGTGGCGGCGCTCCGCCTCCGCCATCAGCTGCCTCCACAGCTCCTGCAGGTCGGCCAGACGCTGCCGGATCACCTCCCCGCTGGACGACTCGTCTTTCAGGAGGCTCTGGCTGCGCTCCAGGATATCATCAATGCGAGGCTGATGACCCTGGATCTCCTTCTGCAGAGTCTGAGGAGGAAGAGGACAGATCGATTCTCCAGTTTGATTATTGATCAAATGATTTATGATCCTTGGAAATAAGAAACACGTGTGTGAGTTAAATGTCACTTCCCTGCCACTAATTAAATGTTATGTACAGCATAAAGTGAAAATGTCATTTAAATCAGACGATGATCGCCATACAACACTTACTTTCTGTTGCCAGTAGGTGGCGGTAGTATGACTAAATATGGGCATGTAGAGTATTCAGGGCGGGACTGTTATCAAACAAAAGTTTGGGGCAGAACAGTCAAAGATCATGTCTCTCCAGAGCACCACCCATGAGGGATTCACTCATTAGACAAACACTCAGTCTATCTATTTATATTTATATTCATATTTATTGTTCTGATCTCAGGTTGGTGTCAGTAAGTATTCGGGGAACTGATCTCTCACCTGGTTCTTCTTGATGAGCAGCTGGACGGTCTGCAGGTTGTGTCCGTGGTCAGTGGACGTGGCCACAGCCATCCTCTCCTGAACCCACAGCTGGAAGACATCGCAGCAAAAACACACTGAGGAACAACCACTGACATCTGTAAGCAGCACAGTTCTCCTGACGGTGGCACTAGAGAGTCAGATAACAGATGCTAACCTGCATATGGCTATATAGACAATACTTCTGATTGGCTGATTTGGACAATATAGTAGGTTTTGGGATTATTGAAGATGCTGAATCCATTTCTGACATTTTCAAAATAGAAAATGGGGATCAGAGTCAACTGATTTGGATTTGATTGGTTATTTATGTGATTAAAACAAAGCAGCAGCAGGTCAATGACAAAAAAACTGCAAAAGAACTGAAGAAACGTGTAGAAATATTACGTCTGAAAACCAATGACATTGAGCTTTATGGATTTTAATATGCAGGTCCAATGTATCAATCATCAGTTGACAGTGTGGAGCAGAGGGTATATAAACCATAATATTTTATATAAACTGAGCTACTCAGTCCACCAGTCACAGTGTCTTTATATATATCTATAATTAAATTACTGATGGTTGAAATGTAAAATATGTAAATATATATGTAGGAATAGTTTTATAAATATTATTGAATAAAGATTTTCTCTTTGGGTTTCTGTACGTACGATCTCGTCCTCCACGTCTCGGTTGAACTGGTGAACCTCTCTGGACGCCACCAAGAAGTTCCTGCGGCGTCGCAGCGGCTCCAGCAGCTCCTGGAACTTCCTCTCCACCAGCTGCCTCCGGCCATCAACCTCGTCAGTGTCCTTCACCTCCTGACCCAGAGCCTTCACCTGGCTCTGCAGCTCCACCACCTCCCGCTGACGCACCTCCACCTGGTTCTCCAGCATCTGAGGGTGGAGTCACACTGCTGACACTGCTGACACTATTACTGATACTGCTGATAGTAAAGACACGACAGATACTACTATACTTCTTCCAGTACTGCAGTACTCTGTCATTGTACCTGTTGTTTTTTGAGCATGATGTTGACGGAGGTCAGGTCTTTGCCATAGTCGTCAGACTGGATTTGACCCTCGAGGCCACCCATCCACTTGTCGAGGTCGGCGCAGCTCTGTGTGAACAGCTCGGCCTTGTTGGCGTCGAACAGACACTGTGCTTTGGTCTGCGTGGTGCACTCTAACTCCTCCCACATGGCGTGGAGCGCCGACAGCCTCTCCTTCACCACCGCCTCTGTCTCCGGTTTCTCCGACACCAGCAGTGTGCCGTCCTACAGTCCAATAAGGCGGGAAAACACCAGTCAGTTGGAACAGTTCCAAGTGTCTGGATGCCAATTAGCTTCATTCAATGTTATTCTGTTTTTGTTAATATTAGCCATCAGATGTAAGTAGCCAGCTGACAATTAATGTTAATTAGCTGGCTAGTTAGCTAGAGTTTAGCTCTGTAGTAAAACATCCGCTAACTAGCCAGCTGACGATTCATGTAGGTTATCTAGCTAGTTAGCATTATCTAACTTAAGATGTGACTATTCCTTTTTGATCTTCTTCAGAATTCTTCTTCAGAGTTTTAGACATTTTAAGGTTGGCTGCTGTTAAAGACACTCATGTAACTTTAAAATGCTTTATAATGAAGGTTTTCTGTTTCCTAGTGGTAATCTTTTACTTCTGTCTTAGACACGCCCATGCAGAGTACAGGTGCACTGGGTCCTGATCTAGTACCTTCTGGATCTTGTCCAGCCACTCTTTGTTGGACTGCAGCTCGGCCATGAAGGCCTGGTGCTTCAGCCACTTGCTGTGCAGGTTCCTGGCTTCATCGTAGGTCATGTCCTGAGCTGTGAGCATCTTCTCATTGATCCACAGAGACAGCTAGATACAAAGAAAAAACGTTTGTTAGTAAAGTGTGATCAATACATTTCTATCTTGGACCAAATACAGGAATAAGCTTCTTAAAATCACTAACACTTCCTCCAAAATAATAGGTCTTCCCACTCCCAACCTACCA